AAACATATAAGAATTAACATACATTAGCATAATACAATTAGGGTGAGAAACGCCCATTTTAAGTCCATTTTTGCAGTCTTGAAAACTGGTGCGGAATGGTTTCATTAGTCGCCGAAGAAGCACATTTTTCGCTGTTTCTAAATTTGCCGTTATATGAAAGTAGGGGACGTGCAATAAGTTTTTAGATATACATAAATATTTTAGTTAATTCCATTATGTGAAAAAGTGACTGTAGGATTTACAGTACTCTTTAACATGTCCTGGGAAATCCTTTTGAGGACTCTCCAATTGGACGATATTGCTTTGCATTCAGCTTGAATGAAAAAAGTCACTCGCTGGCACAGTTTTCTGTAATCCGGTTCTTTTATTTAAAGGTTATTTATACAATTGAAGATAATTAAAAAAAAAAAAAACTGGAGAGCCACTTAAGTTTTTCGATATAACTTTGGTAAATGTTACTCGATCGGTACGTAATAATTTACAAATTGAAAGCGAGACTTACTGTTACTGATTTATGATAACAATATGATGAAAATCGTTCAGATTATAAACCAGTTATTTTAAAATAAAAAAAATTTAAAAATTTTTTTTTGTCATTTTGCTATATTTGCAATTTTTAAATTGTATGCATAAACATAAGTAAACTAATTAGTGTTTCCAAAGTTGTGCCTGTTCAGTGTTTCCATACTCATTTCAATAAACAAAATTTTTCCACGATGATGGAAAATAATGGCTATTCTATTAGAGCTACCGAAATTGTTCCTAAATTTGCAAAAATACGCAAATTATAGCTAATATTAAAAAAAGATTAGAATATTTGGAACTAGCGATCTAAATGCACGCCAGCAATATTAATGCTGTTCATCACATCTTTTGACTATAGGCCAGTGCAATTATCAAGAGAACAATTAAAATTTCTTTGAAAATAGTTAAGTTTCAGATTAACGATAAGCTAAAGTGCTGCGAGAAATGATATTTGACTTTATCTTTTGCGTTAACGGATTCATTATCTAATAATATGCACCAACCCTTTTTACTGAACCCAGAATTTTTAACAAGAATTGGTCTTATTCGACTAGTGTGCCGTGGGTCTCTTGGCGGTCGATGCGCGGGCTCTCACAATTAAAATAAAATACTAATATTTTGCATGCTTGTTGTTGACTTCATGATACAATATATTTTCACTATTACCAAGGGATTTGAGAAAAATTTGATTTTCGACCCGCCCTACTGTGTATGGATATGTGTTGGTGTGTTCATGTAATCTGTCTGGTACACGAGTCTCTCAGACGGAGCAAGCTATGTACATGCCGGTTGCTGGTGGCCAATTCCAGATTTCCGGTTGGTGGAGGTCCTTTTATTCATACGTACGTATGTGCAGGCGACCTGAAAGGGGGAGAAAGCTCTGATTTAGCACATTGAATGGTACAGTCGTAGATCTGCCGCTGCTGTCATAAAACTAAAAAAAAAATTAATAATTCGTGCCTTGTCTGCATACATACATATGTGCATACATACATATGCATTTAGTAAGATGCAGGCTTATGCATGTGTTTAGATTTGAGGCATAACAATATGTGGTGCTTACCTCCAGTTCCAGATTTTAGCTCTTTGTGGCGGCTTGGGTACACCGGTACCGCGATAATCCGGTAAAACGGCACAATTCACACAACTATAGGGAAAGTCTGCATATTTGACTATATAAACTTTTTTTTTGAACGCTTTCTTTTTTTCTTTTAACACTTAAACTGGTAACGTTCGCACAGTTAAAACACCCGGTAATCACAACGTTAGCACCGCAACCTTTGTATCTGACCCGTTCGCCACCATCTGCGTCATTTTATACCCTTTGGCCCGGCTAACTGACTCAGACCGTCTTATGTACTTATTTTCTTACATATTTACAAGGAAAACTCGAAAGAACAACCGCTGTTTGGGAGAACCATTAACACACACACCCCTTTGCTTTGCTTTGCTCGACCGACCGAACTTTCTCTGGGCCTCTCGTTGCCGAAGTTGATGTTTGATCAGCTATGTTCGCTCAAACATTCATACACTCACACATTTACACTTAATTAACATTGACGTTTGGTTGACTGGCACATGTTCGATCTCGTCCCCACAATCACACACAATTACACTAAGTTAACATCGATTCCCTACTGGCTTATGTTTGGTCCACTTCATACACACATACATGACTATACCGAAGTATCTGGCAAACAGCTGGCGCTACAGTTCCTAAATTTACACATGCGCCATATATGTAATACTCCTATATTGGCAGTAAGAGCTAGTACCGTCCGAAAACACTACAGTACAGATATATCAATAAATACGTACGAAAGAAAAGGAACACATACGTTTATAAATAAACATGTACACAACGCATACACAAAAACGGCACTCAAGTACACAACACATTGACAAAAACGGTACTAGAATGTCTCGCTTTGATTTCGGAATGCTTACACATTGAGAAGTTAGCTTACTGCCAATATAGAAGTATTACATATATGACATGCGCTATAGGGTAACTGACATAACTTCCATGGAAGTCGAAACCCCGAACTATAGTGGTTATATACTTAGATAATTCGTCTAAACATGTAAAATTGTGTATCGCGTAAAATTCATTTTTTTCTCCGCTAGGCAGGCGTCTTGCCGTTGGTGCGGGGGCTTAGTCGAATCACAACCAGACTTTATTATCGGGTGGTAGTGTAATCGTGTCTCTACCTCCGGGTACTGTGCGAATGCACTCCATTTCCTATGGTTCGGGCTGCTTGTGAGCGATGACCAAGAACTGCCGACTCCCTAATCCAGGGTGTTAAGTCCACCCATTGGAAGGTTTGCAGCCAGGGGGTTTACCAGACCGGCTGTCTTTTAACGGCGCCTTCCTGACACCGGGCCGCCTCAGGGAGTAACGGTGGCCTTGCTGCGGCATGGGGCGCTGCCGTAGTGGACTGTTTGAATTCCCCTTATTATGATCTAGACCACTGCGCCCGCTTCGTCGGGTAGGTGGTCGTACGAACAAGATGAACACAAACAAACAAAACCAAATCCAACCAACAAAACTTCGAGTGGTGGAGGGGATTCGAAACCGATCCCTCTCTTTCGCTCCTCTTTAAACGAGGCGGAATCGACTATTGTCCCGTATATCTGGCTGGAGAGTCCTTAGTGACCACTCCTTCTCCGATCATCGGTACACACAATTCGCTTTGGGCGAAGCGCGTCCTAAGCACAAACCTTAAAGGAATCTGAGGAGAACCAACTGGGACTTAAACTGCAGAAGTCTGCAGGAAATGCTTCCGGTTGCACCCGTGAGGGGCGGGACCTGGACTGAAAGTGAAATTGACGAATCTATTGGTGTGTTCACCACCTCGTGTAAAAGGGCTATTAATATGTCTTGTCCCCTGAGTTACTACAAAGGTAAGGTGGTCGGAGGAGCTCTCCGATCTTAGGGCCTCGAGCAGAGGCCTTTTCAATAGGGCCAGGAAGAGTAAATCAGCCTCCGACTGGGCACTGCATAAGATTGAGCTTGACTTGACTTATATATGTCCGAGATTAGGAAAGCGTCGTGGACACTGTTCTCTGGAAGCGTGGAGGGCAGTCAGGAGTGCTCAAGGTTTAGGCGAGTGATTTCAGGCCGATAAGTCTCCTCGTTTCTTCTGAAGACGCTGGGGAGGCTGATCGATCGCCATTTAAGGAGCCGGATCCTCAGGGAGCGCCTTTCCATGGAGCAGCCTGCTTATTCCAAGGGCAGGTCTGGCGAAACGGCCTTACACACGGTCGTTGAAAATATTGCGCAATCCTTCTCGAAGAAGTAATTTGCGGTCGGTGCCTTCCTTGATATCGAGGGGGCTTTTAACAATGTTTTGCCTGAGGCTGTAGTTAACTCCCTAAATAAGCTAGGGGTCGGAGCCGACCTTGTCAGGTTTATTTACCGCTTGCTTTGCAATAGAACTGTCGCTTATGCAGGGTTACTTGAGCTTGGTTGAGATCTGGACTTTTAGCTGCAGGCTGGGAGTAAATCCCAGTAAAACGGAGCTTGTTCTCTTAACTAGGAGGTATAAGATACCGAATTGCCGTCTTCCCTCAATGGGTTGTCTTCCTGTTCCCAGCAAACATTGAGGTTAGTTATCGATTAGAGAATGACTGGAGAACTAGCCCCATTCTCCAATCTCAAACGTTAGAGAACGACTCGAAAAACTTTCGAGAATCATAGCGATCTCAGCAAAATAGGACATAGTTCTCGACTCGAGAAAATATTAAATCTCGAATCGAAGTCTAATGTTGATCTCTAATGGGATTCGAATGTGAATTTCAAACTGCTGTTTTGCTTTATTAAATAAAATGCTTTGTTTGCAAAATTTGTACTAAATGTATTCGCAATAAAATAGTAATGAATTATTTGAACTTAAAAATAATTTATAACTCATTCATTTGGAATATTGCTTATTTACATTCATTTGAATTTGCGTTGTTTCTCTAATCGTTCTCGAATCGAATTTTAATGTAGTTCTCTAACTTCGTCATCGGCTCGAGAACGATTAGAGAACTACCCTAGTTATCTAAAGCAGAAATCCAAATTTCTCTAACGTTAGAGACTGTGTTTGCTGGGTTAAGGCTCTTTGACAGGGTGAAGTACGTGGGCTTGATCCTTGACAGTAAGCTTTCCTGGAAGCCTAACGTGGAGGAAAGAGTGAAGAAGGCTACAGTAGCACTGTATTGTTGCAGAGGGGCCATTGGCAAGCGCTGGGGCCTCTCGCCGAAGGTAGTGCATTGGCTTTATGAAACTATAATTAAGCCAATCGTATTATATGGGGTACTCGTCTGGTGGAACGCACTTGACAAGGCCTACATCGTCAATCAGCTGGAGAAGGTGCAAAGAGCTGCCTTAAAGGGAATCAGTGGGACACTTCGAACCACACCTACTCTTGCGCTTAATGCCATGTTAAATGTTGTGCCTATAGATATAGCTGGCAGGGTTGCAGCTGCGCGTGCTGCAGTAAGGCTAAGATGGGTGGGCTTCAAGTTCACCTCAAGCTATGGGCACTCCAGAATCTTAAGACTTCGGTTTCCTACCGACTCGGACAGACCACTGCACGCCGGTTCTGGGCCCGAATGGATCTTTTACCACCCACATCCCGGCGAGGGGAGACTGAGAGGGGTGCAGTATCTGGAATCGAGGACCTGTAAACTTATTTACAGATAGATCGAAGCTGGATGGAAAGGGGGCGGAGGTGATTTCTGCGAAGAGCTCTCCATCAACCTGAAATTTAGGTTACCGGAACACTGTAGTGTTTTCCAGTCTGAAGTGGCCGCAATAAAAGAGGCTTCGGATTGGTTGCTCTCTAGTGTAACATCTGTCAGGGAAGTAAATATTTATTCTGGTAGCCAAGCAGCCATCAGGGCTCTCGGCTCCCTGACGGTGCGTTCGAAAACGGTGAGGGAGTGTTTGACTTCCCTATCGACCGCGTCTGATTATTTTGCTATTAAGCTTATTTGGGTTCCAGGTCAAAGCGAAATCGCTGGCAACTGCATGGCTGATGAGTTTGCAAGACAGGGAAACCTCGAGGAATTACTTTCCGATAGGGAGGGTCTGGGGGCTCCCCTGACCTCGTGTGGTCTGCTTCTAGACAGATGGACGTTTAGTCAGCTCAGCGAGCGCTGGGCGAAGACCTCGGAGTGCAAAGTGGCAAAGTCTTTCTGGCCACGGGTGGACCGGGCGGTCTGGTGAGCTCTTGAGACTAAGCAAGCTGCATCCCTCACTATTGGTGGGAGTGCTTCCTGGCCACTATGTGATTGGTAACGATGCTTTAAGGCTGAATGTTGCGGATAATCCTTACTGCACCAGCTGCATGGAGGATGATGAGGTGGAATCATCTCAACATCTGCTGCTCTAGTGCCCTGCCTTTGCGAGCCAAAGGTTTAAGCACCTTGGGTCGCACTTTCACACTCCCGATGAGCTCTCGGGAGTGGACATCAGTCGACTGAAGAACTTCGTTGTGAGCACGGAGCTTGTCTCCGGCAAAAAGCCATAGGTGTCGTCTTGCTCCCATAGCTGCCCCCCTCTTTCCCCTACCCACCCTGCGTCCCTTTTTTCCCTCCCCCTCTAAGGGCATCACAACGGACAGCTTAGTCGAGTCCAAGTGTGCCTCCATATGCGGAGGCAGCCCGCTTACCTAACCTAACCTAAAATTCAGTTTTCCATGAAGGTACTTATCGCGTTCAATATTCAATTTAGGGCACAATTCTGTTGCAGTGACTAATTCTTGTCACAGTTTTTTTACGGATAAATATATTTAAGTTTAAAGTTGTCAGTAAAAAAAAAATGTTTGTCACCGATTCAGAATTGGGATATTAATTTAATTTTAAGTAAAAATAGTTTGGATGTAATTTAATATTTTGTAAGCTCTTTTTTATTAAAAACCAAAAATTTTCTTTTTTGAAAACTATAAACAACATAAATTGAAACCAATAAAAAATAACAAGTATAAAAGTATAAAGTATTTAAGTATATCCTAAATTTACTCCCCCTCCAGTGAAACGATAAATTAATTATTGTTAAGTGTTGTTTTCTTTGTTTTGTGCGGAAGTATGAGTGTTGGACCGGTAATTATGTTTTCAGGTTTGAGTAAATCTGTGGAACCCGTTTTAATTATATTGCCATGTTGAATTTTGTTATGTTTCGAAATAACTGAGGGACTCAGAAGGTGAATGCAAGTTGGACTTGTGAATGAATTTAAAAAATACTCTCAAGTTCTAAATTTTTGGGAACGAAAGACTACAAGGTGAGCTTGGATAAGGTTTAACCGATAAGTCCTCGCCCATCCAGTTTTTCTCCAAATTATCAATATGGTGGCCAATCTAATAGCCCGTTTATGGCGACCGATAAATGTACATTTAGGTTAGCTTAATATAAATTTTTAGTTATAGCTTGCAAAGACATAACTGCAAGCCGTTTTGCTTTCACTTTACCTATGACAACTACATTTTGCCACCTACTGTATGTACATATCTCAGTATGTAAATATATAAAATAGTAAACAAGTTATTTTGTTTGTTCTAGTTATTATATTTTTAAATTCCCAGCTTCATTCTAATAGTCGTACAGAATTCAGCCACCACTTAAATGTCATCTTTATTACGGGCAATATCTACCCATGCTATTATTCCTTGGCCGGTTTTATCTAAATCATCAAACTGCAGATACTGCACGCTATCTATTTCTGCAATATCATTTATAACATCGTCTGTGCTTTGAGGGTAAATCTGCGGTGCTTCATTGCAATTTGAATCTTGAGTAAAATGTGCAGCAGCTTCGTTTGTTTCATCACACGAGTCAATCGAACTCATTTCTCTACCCAAAGCCAACATACCTTTGTCACTAATATGCGGCTGGTTTATTATAATGGTGTCATTCGTATGCCCTGCATGCTTCATATGTGTCAAAAGTAAAGGTTTTCGCATAAAACCAGCACCGCATTTAAGACACTCATACGGCTTCTTTGTGCTATGTACGAAGCGATGGGCATTTCGATTTGCACAACTGTTGAACTCTTTACCACAAACTTCACAAATATAAGGTTTACTGTTTCCATGTATAAGCATGTGTTTTTTTCTTGTGTTCTGGATAGACAAAAGACGAACCACATATTTCGCATTCGTGAGGCCGGATACCCGTATGCACGGCATTAATATGATACTGCAATAAGCGGCGTCTTTTGAAGGAACGCCCACATTGATCGCATTTGTGTAATTTTTCATTTAAATGTGTGGATTTTCGGTGCGTCATCAGATTTGACCGTTGTGCAAAAGCAGCATCGCACATATCACATTTATAAGGCTTCTCCCCAGTATGGATGCGTTCGTGGTCCTTGATTTCAGCGCGGCGAGCAAAAGCCTTGCCGCAAGTTCTGCATATGAATGGTCGTTGTCCGGAATGTACAATCTTATGGACATCTAAGTTGTGCTGGGTGCCGAAGGCTTTTGAACATATATCACAAATGATTGTTTTTTCACCCAAGTGTAGCCTTTTATGATGCGTAAGAGTTTGTTGGTTAAGAAAAGCTTTGTTACATTTTTCGCATTTATAAGGGCGCAGTCGCTCACTATGTATTTTCATATGCGCCTGCAATGTATATTTTGAAGCGAAGTCCTTGGGACATTTTGAACATTGATACGGTCGTTGCCCTGTATGCATATTCATATGGTCAAGAAGCAGATTCCGACAATTATATTTCTTATTACACTCCGAGCATTCGTATTGGAAAGTGGCGTTGTTATGCGTGCGTTTATGAAAACGTAACATCCTTTGATTGACAAAAACTTGAAAACATATACTACACTTCGATTCTTCAGACTTTGGCTTTGTAGCGATATGAACGTATTCGACGTGTTTTTTTAGATTCTCCGCAGAAAGGAACCCACTGAAACAAAATTCACAAGAATAAAAATCTATGTCATGATTTTCAAACATATGATCGGCAAATGGATCCGCAGTCATTGCCTTTTGCTCTTTGCATAATAGACAAAAGTAAAAATTTTCTTGTTGCTCGAAAATTGCGTTCAGTTTATCAAATGGTAAGTCTTCATCCATATCATGCTCATAAACTGAATTTCCCTTATTGCCTACATAATGAAGTGTCGAGGCTAAATTGGGATAAACAAAGAAAAAATATTAATTATATCACGCATATTAATTTAAATTGAGGAATAGCTATTTAACATTACTAAAGTCCAATACTACAATATTTAGAATAACGGTCGTCCCATAATTTACGCAAAATTTAAGTTGAGTAGAAAGCACAGCATTTCACAATTGTATTTTTATACCCGAGCGCATTATAACTTTGTTCACAAAACGGTACATTGAACCCGGTTAATTGGTTTCCCCGTATAATTGGTTAAAAACATGTGACATTGAAGAGATATATCTTAAATTTTCCCCGGTTAATTGTTCCTTACGTTTCTTTTATTTTTTTTTATAACAATTATCTCTAAAAATGTGAGGACAAGTATATATACTCACGTATGAACAATAATAAATATAAATTGTTTTTATTGCTTATATTTTTTCGTTTAAAGTTTAAACTATTCCCTTTAAAATGCACACATTCAATTTCTTTTAATTGATTAGGTTGTCCAATTTAGCGGAATTTCTACGTATTTCTGTAACGAACTGTTCAATTAAACGAGTATCGGTTAATTGATTCCCCGGTTAATTGAACCAAAAATTGTGCAATTTTTGAAGTGTAATTAAGCGGGAATACTGTAGTATCAATTTTGAGTGATCTGTCAAAGTTTGCATTTTTTCGTGATTCTGACTAATCATATACTTCTTCAAATCGTTATATCTCGGGTTCTGCTGATCGTTGAGACTTCATCTTAACGGGCTTAACATTTCTTTATATAAGGTGGTCAAGATTGCCCTAAAGCTAACTTAGCTATTAACAGTTGAACTTTCTGAAGTTGATTTGCATGGTGAAGACCAGTAACTTAGGGATTTAAAATTATACAATCGTAATCCTTGTTTAATCTATATATATAAAACAAAGTCGTGTTAGTTACACCATTTATAACTCGAGAACGGCTGGACCAATTTTTATGATATTTGTTTTTAGAATTTGTCTACCTTCCGAATAGCAGAATAACTATTAAAACCGCTAGGTGGCGCTGAAGTCGAGTTATTAGTAAATCCCGTATTTATGGTCCGATTCCCCTCATATTTGAGATATGTTTTGATAATACGAAAAACAATACCATTGCAAAAAAGAGCCGCCAGGTGGCGTTGGAGTTGAGTTATTTCTAAAAATCGTATTTATGGGTCCGATTTGTCTCATATTCGAGATATGTTTTGATAATACGAAAAACAATACCATTGCAAAAAAAAATAACCGCCAGGTGGCGTTGGAGTCGAGTTATTACTAAAAATCGTGTTTATGGTCCGATTATCCTGAGATTCAAAATATCGTCGTTTAAAGTGCAAAACCGTGTATCAACAAAATGCAAAACCGCGTATCAGCAAAATGCAAAACCGCGTATGTGAGATTGCATAAATTATTTTCTAGAGAGTAAAAACACTAATATTTCAAAATGGTTATCTTTTTTATAAAGCAATCGCATTTCTGGCTAGTATATTTCAGCACGAATGGATAGGGATTGACCCAAGAGCTTGTGTAAGAAAATCCAATTTTTGGCAGCCAATGTCAGTTACGCGGTTTTGTAGAATGACGATACGCGGTTTTGTACTTTAAACAACGATATGTATTGATAATAGGAAAAATAATTCTTTCGAAACAAATTTTCCGCCAGGTGGCGCTGAAATTGAGTTACATATGTATATATATGTAACTAAAAATCGTATCTTTGCTCGAATTTATTTCATTATCGAAATATATGAATTCGCATATAGGACCACCGATAAAAATGCAATAAAGACACAAAAAAATTGAAAAAATCAAATCCCTTATTACTGTTAGAAGGCTCGTGTCTCTAATCCTTGGCTAAACCATGTCTAATTCTAACTAAAGTAAGTAGTAAAGATTATATATGAATAAGACAACGATTAAAGACATGAGCCACCTAACAATAGTACGAGTTTTTATTTTTTGAATTGTGTCGTTATGTATAGGACCATCGATATAATTATGACAGAAAAAGATACATATGTATGCGTACTTTTGCAAAAAAAAACTGAAATTCAGTCGGAAATCGCCGTTTACGAACAGCTGTTCCTTATTTACATACTTATATATATAAAAATGGTGTGAAAAATGTATAGTAATTCATCAATTGAGAACGGCTGGGCCGATTTTTTGGTTGTTCGTAATTGCCAGGAAACGGTTTTTACGGAAAAAATTTTGGGAAAACCCTCCGGAAAAGTCGGGAAATTGGGAAAATCGAAAATTAACTTTTTGTATGGAATTTTGTGAGCAAATGTTTCGGAATGGCTTTTTGAATGGAAATATAAAAAATTCTTAGTGGAAAACTCGGAAAATTCCGGAAGAACGCGAAAAATTTGAATTTTTTTTCGACGAAATTTTGCATTTTGTCGCATAATTCGATGATTTTGGACGATGAAAAGGTGGAGAATTCGTTGTGATGCTTGGAAATTTTCAGATTGTGAAATTCATTGTGAGCATGAATCAATTGGAAAAAATTTTCCCCTATGTTTCTTAGCCGATTCGAATGGTTGTTGCTTTGGTGGAAAGGTGTTTAGAAGAAGGAGTTCACAAAGTTTTAATTGTTCCGATATGTGGTGCAGGGGTAGAGCTACGCTAAACAATCGCATTTATAGTCCGATTTGCTTCAAACGCGGAAAATATATTCGGTGCATAAACAGAAATAAACCTGCCAAAATAGACCCGATAGGTGCCTCCAAAGTCGAGTTATGGCAAATTCAGTTCCATGCAATATGTTCTCTTATCTATCTACATATACTAATTATATAAAGAGAAGTCCCTTTTTTTGTAACAGGTAATCTCGGGAACGGCAGGTCTCGATTTCATGAAATTTAGTTTATAAATAGCTTTCAGCAACCACCATGTAAAGGAAAAAAATTTACTTTTTTCCGGAAGGTGGACCAGGTAACGATATAAAGGGTGAACACACCAAAACTGCGACACTTTGGGAAGCTTATAACTTACCCAAAACGAATTCAATATTTTGAAATTCAAATACCATAAGTTGACCATGACCTTAGTTGAACGTAGAAGAAATTTCATTTGAATTTGATTCCTAGTTGAGTTAAAAATGGCAACCGAGCTAGAAACGAGACAAACCATTTTGCACGAGTTTATAAATGATCAGGCCTTAAGTACACGTAAAATTAAAAAGTGCACTATTCGACAGTTTCCAGGGTTTTAATCGCTACAAATAAGGCCTGACAGTTACGAGAAAACCAGGGAGCGGGGGTTAGTATGGTCAAAGTGATAAAAACAGTGCTCGGAAGGTCCTCAGGGCGTTTTCGCGAGATCCGAAGATTTTGTCGCGTTATGTTGCAAAATCCGTACGGAGATCGCAGTTTTTCGTACAAAAGGTAAAGCGGAAAGCTTCATTGAGATGTTCTACAGCTCAAACAGCGCCAGACCGAGGCGCAAAGTAGAATGTTACAGCGAAATCCCGCATTCGGAAGTTGTATGAATTCTAAATTAAAAAATACAACTGCATTGTTATGGACTGCGAAACCTACTGCTATAAAAATTCAAAATATATTGCAGGTCAAGATTTTTATACTGCTGCAAGTCGTCAAGATGCCCTTGAAAGTTGTAAGCTGAAAATGAAGTCCAAATTTCCAAACACCACATGGTTTGGCAAGCTATTTGTTCCTGCGGCCGTAAGAGCAGCCCTTTTTCCCATCCGGGACAATGAATGATCAAGTGTATCGGGATGAGTGCCTCAAAAGGCACGTCCTATTGGGGAATATTGGTCAATTGTCAAAGGAATCTTGAAGAAAACAGGTGAAAGAGTGAAAATTATTGAAGAGTGCAAAACAAAGTAGTTGTGCGCATCGCGTAATGTCGATGATGCAGTCATGTAGAACATGATGGCGCGTGTGCGATGAAAATATCGATCACTTGCATATGGAGCAAATAATAACTAATATTTTAACATTTTCATAACATCTAAACTTCCAAGTTATATAATACAAAAAAAAATAATTTCAAAGCCTTCTAGTTTATTTCTGGTAGTAATTTCTAAGTGTCGCAGTTTTGGTGTGTTCACCCTTTATTCGAAAAAATCTTATTTATGGTCCGATTTGCTTGAAATTTGGTACGTAGGTAGCCTTTTTCCTAGATTAGCATATACAGTGCAATCCGGTTATAACGAACTCAACGGGACCGCGTCAAATTGTCCATCATAACCGAGTGTCCATTTTATTAGAATAATAGCAGACCCGGCGAAACTTCGTCCCGCCCAACATTTTTATTTTTTTATTGAAAATTTTTGGTCCAACATTTTCAGCAATAATTCACGTTTACGATTATCATTGGCACATTCATCTGCTAAGATTATGGTTTGGTGATCATTTGCCGCTTTAAATAACCTAAGGAAAGTGTTATATCCGTGAAGAAGTTCCTAAAATTCTCCGACTATGCAGCATTTCACAGCACGGTTATTCGCAAAACGAATAACCTGTTACCTGGCGGCAACAATGACTTATTTCAGACGAAATACCTTAAAAGCTGGAACGCATAATAATATTGGAAAATCACATCCATTGGGCCAATCGTAACACAGTAGAGTTCGATATACTCAATGGTACAACAGGTCGATTTAATCTGACCTTCACGGCACCTTTTCTCACTTGGCTATTTTTAGTAATAACTCGACTCCAGCGCCACTTGGCAGCACATTTTTGCAATAGTATTGCTCTTACCATTACCAATACATATTAAAAATATTAGCCAACTCGGATCATAAATATGATTTTTAATAATAACTCAACTACAGCGCCAACAAACATACAAAATTTCGTTAAAATCCGTACAGCCATTTAGGAGGATTTCACTCACAAACACACCTCAAGAATAATTATAAATACATTCAAAGATAACTAAAAGTCGGTACGTTTGTAGACCTTACGCCCTCTTTTCAAATAGCCCCAATTTTCTCCATGAGTATGGGCTTGCTTTCATATACATATATAT